TCGCGACAAATAACTTCACGATGTATTTGATGTAGCGAATTTTATTTCACATTCGCACTTACAATCACCCAAATTACAGATTTACGGTTACTGCTATCTGCAGTATCACAATTAGTACACTCCAAATGCCAGAATACAACGGACTAGTTGCTGGCTAACTCGGCTGTAGATCCAGGACTCGCTGACTGACTCAGTACAACTCGGCGGTAGCCACACTAGAACTGACTGTGAATAGCCTTCGCTGCTCCGTATGTAGCCTCGATCGGACAATACGGGAAAACGGCCACGTAATAGGCACCCTTTTTGCCTGGCGCTGTGTTGCTATGTAACGCTAGTGGAGGTAAGCGCTGTTACTATCGTAACGTCGCCGCTGTTGACTCGCGTTGCCTAGCGACCGCGATATCCCTCGGTGACGTCACCGCGGAGGGGAGTGGCGGGGCGGGAACTTGCCTATTACGCGAGCGTTACGTCACCGCTGGGGAGGTAGGGGTCAACATGTCACAATACTGTTCTTTTATTGAACTCAGATTGAACTTCACTGAAATCTAGTTAAACATTTTTTCCGGTATGCTTAATATTTACTCAAAGAAAAATAATGTATGACCCTCTGCATTGTGATACCTGTAGTATGGTCATGTTTGCAAGAATATATGTTGTAAATGAACATCAAGTTCAGTGAGATACTGAAAATGTCAGGGAATATATTTTGAAAAATATGTGTACTCCACTGGAGTATAACTTTCCTTTCATGTTCAGATAGAAATGTTGTATGATGCTTGTCCTTTAGCCCTGCAGTCTCATGGTCTTGTAATTGTATGCATAAGTGTATTGCAGATTCTGTGACAGGATTTTGCTATTTATAACAAGAATGTTGTTTCTTTGCTGGAGCCCTACTCTAATGGAGCACTCTGAGATTACCCATAGTATTAGTCCCAGAGACTATGGTTTATGGAGAATGGATTTTTTAATGTTTAATTTATGGTGTAACAGTCACTAAATGAATTAATGATGTCTTGGCCAGCAGAATCATCTCCCTAACATCAAGGTGCATGCGTACTTCGCTCCTGTGACACCTCCACCAACTGCTGGTGGATCCAGGCAACGCTACTGCCGCTGCTGTGTCATCTTGTGAACTAGTCGTTCTTAACACGTCACACAACAGGACCAAAGTGTTAATGTGCAGAACATTTATAAATAGAACAAAATACTTTATTTATGTTTAGATCTGTGCCCGCTCATTGCACTGAGAGATTGCTGAAGGAAAAAAAAAAAAGGGAGGAAGTCATTGACAGTGGCATGAGACAGTAGATCTGATTTTGCAAGATATCTGCACGTTATGTGATCTGAGCAGTGCGTGTATCAAACTAAACTAAACTTGAATGGCCTGATTTTTTAAGATGTATGTATATTTATGAGTGTGTTCCCCACTGCATTCTTTTGTGTGTAGACTAGTGCAAGCTCAATGCCCAACCTGTGATGAAAGAGGAAAATGTGATAACTTAAGCTGCAAACGTCCTAGGAATGGTTGAACAAGGAAGGGAGGATCAGCATCAATCTTCCAAGCAGAGGATGTGGCTGGACCCATTGCTTGCTTCTTTTTCATTGGTTTTGAATGTATGAACTATTACCAGTGTCAGACAATGCTGCGTGTTTAGACTCTTCTCGATGATAAATAGAATGCAAGTGGTATTTAGAACTTTGATCCATAGTGAGGAAAGACTGAAGAGTAACAGACTATTATTGTAGGTTTGGAAACTAAAGGCCTTATTTGAAGTTTCCAGATATACATTAGTCAATTGGCTATATGCCTCTAGTCTTCTCTCAGACTTGTCCATTCCTCATTGCAAATCTTAAAATATATGGCATGCCTTAGGCCCTTACTTTAGGAATTTTTCCATATATGATGAAGCTGTTTATTTTTCCCCATGAGTACATAACTGTTTGAAAGCAAATACCTAGCAGAACAAGGAAGCAAACAGCCCTAATGCACCAGAGTTGCTTATGAAGAGAGACACATTGTGTCGGTCACATTATGAATTCCTTCACAGAGTTGATGAAGCAGTGGTAGCTGTAGGAACAGCAGCAGTAGAAACATTTTCATATTTTCTGTAAGAAGTTAACTACAATGTCAAAGTAAACATTCTGGCACTTTGGCTGGTTCATGCTCACATAGGTATATTGCCTTTTACACTAGTCTGATATATGAAATTCGGATCAAGTGTGCAGCCCAACACAAAACATTAATTTGCAGACAAGTGGGAGAAAGTTGCCAAAGCTTGAATTGATGCAAGATTTAATAGTTTCTGGTTGATTTTTTTTATGTTCCTATGTTTATTCTTCTGTTTCCATTTCTTATAACCAGGATTCATCATTTGCATAGCATATGTTCAGATAAAATTTTGTTTCAAAGCAGTCATTTTACTGGGAAACATTTATTCAGTGATGGATTATTCCATAACACTTTTTCAGTTTCAGAAGTTATATAATCCCAATTGTGGCAGAAAAATGATCCTGAATGGTGAGTCGGTAAGGATTTTGAGGGACTGGCTGTGTCCTATGCCAGTATTACCTGGCGAATCTGAGTAATGCCATGAAATTTTCTGTAGTGGAATCATTTGATGTACATAAAGAAGAAAACATGTTTTGTCTTTCATAGGGCCATTATCAGGCCGTTTGTGAATAGGATCTCACTCCTCCTCCCCCACCCCACCTTTTGCATGTACTAATTTATAATTCACGTTGAATATGCAAAAGAGAATTGAGACAAGTTTTGTGTTTATCTAAAATGAGAATATAAGTCTGGAATAGTGTCCTCCACTTCTTTAAAAAGTACTCATAATATCTTGCGTAGTCTTTATTGTGGGTTATAATTTGTGACTGGATATGTGATGTTACTTTCAGATTTGTAAACATTCCAGTAGACATCATGCTCTCACTGAAACGAGTGAGGGAACATAGTTCCGCAACAGAATGTATGAACAAGAATAAGAAATTGAATTAATTACCTTCCATTTTGGCATAAGTAATTGTGATATCATAGGTCTAGTTGTGCTATATTGTAGTCTGATGCCTAGCAGAAACTGTGTTATTAAATTCAAAGTTTCCTTTTTTTTTTTTTTTTTTGGTGGTTGTCCAGGCATGACTATTTACTTGCTAGGACTATGTTTTTAAGATCTTGCATGTTTTTATTTAAGGTTTGCTGAACAGTCCTATTTACCTTCTGATATTACATTGGCTTAAAACAAGTCTTGAATAATTAATTTGATTGTTTATGTAATACAGAAAAAATATGAGTGTGAACAAATTTTACCTCTAATTTTAAGGATGTATGCTAAAATCATTTTAATTTATTGTCACATAATTCAGAATCACCAACATTTATTTCCCATCTGGAGAAATATAATTTTTTATGCTTCATAGTGTTGGTAATTTAAAGTTTAGTTAGTATGTAATGTGAAGTAATCATTTAATCCATCACACAGTAAATTCTGATTAATCCAGAAGTGTAATTCCACAGAAGGGGAGTTCAGGTAATCTGGAGTTATCTGTTGAGAAAATAATATGAGAAAGCTTGGAGGCAATATTTTCACCCTTATGCCTGGGAAGTTTTCTGTTGTTAGATGATGTCAGTGTGAGAAGTATGAATTGTTTCCTTCTGTCACTTGAGAATGTCTGCATTAAAAATTGTGAGCTGCTCCGTACATTTCTTACATCTTGAGAGCGAATTTCAAGAATCAGTAGGTGGTGTGTGCAGTAAATTGGATGCTTAAGACCATATAGTTAATTTTTGGTTTTGTATGTTATAAATTAAAGAGGTTATGTTGAACATTTTTTTAGGTGTACCTGAGAATGGTAAATCACACTTCAAGTGCTATGTGTCTTGTAAATGCTCTATCACCTAAACAACGGCCTTGTGTATATAAGCCCTAATAACTTAAATATTAGAAGAGAGGGCTGGAAAACAAAATTTTGGTTTTCATAGGACTGACTCAAACATTTTTTATTAAATTTTTTTTATTTATGCTGCATATTCCTGAATGGATATAAAATATGTTCCAAAATGTTATAGTGTGATCTGATCTCTTGACACATNTTTATGCTGCATATTCCTGAATGGATATAAAATATGTTCCAAAATGAAACAAGAAACAAGTATGAAAAAGGAAAAGTATTCTGAAGTAATTTGTGTTTTTATAAGCAGCTTACTGTGAAAACTGCCTGTATAGTCATAATTTATGAGGGGCCTCTTCACTCTCCAAATGCAGTTGCTGCTTCATTCACAATTGTCAATTTCTGCACTTTTTCTCCCATACAGTTGCTAAGTTGTTAGTTCACTTTTCTTGAGAGCAAGTTCATTTAGGTAATGGGAAACAAGAAATGTATTGAGAACTTGGTGCCAGAACTTCATGAAAAGAGATCACTATAGGAACCAAGAAGTAGATGAATATTATAAGGATTTGCATGGAAGCAGATTGTTTGGATCCAAACTTGTTTGAAGTAGATCCAGAGAGGATTCAGTAGTGAGTCCTTGTTCTAATGGTGATGAACCTTCAGTTTCATTAACATCATGAATTAGGCCATGCCGTATCTCAAGTGGTTAGTCACTGGCTTCCCACTGCGATTGCCTGGGTTCGAGCCAGGGTGTGGTCAAGTGGGATTTGTGGTGGACAAAGTGGCGCTGGGGCAGGTTTTCTCTTAGTACTTCGTTTCCCCTGCCAATCTTCATTCCACCAAATTCTCCATAATAATCACCCGAGACAGGTGCAATAGGCCAATCAGTGGCCAAATATATTAATGCTTTTTGCATTTGTACCTAAGTATAGAAATGTTTTTATTTGTATGTTTGGCACATTTCTTAACACAAAAATGAGTGATCAGTGAAAATTGATACAGATGGCTGTAGCAGCTGAGGTGCACACAAAGCTAGCAATATCAGTGAAAACTGGTGCAAGTTATGAAAAACTAGATAAATAGACGTTTGGCTTTTCTTAGTTTAAAAAGTTTCTTTTTCTTCTTTAAGTTCCTCTGACACTCTGCCCCATTTACCTTTTAGAGGTCCAGTGGTGAGAAGAATTGGGGTTGTAAATTGATGATAAAAAGGTGTCAAGATGTAGCAAAATTTTGTGTGTGTGTGCATATGTGGTCTAACAGTAAAGTTCATGAACTTGTGCTACATGCCTCATTGCTGAATATCATTGTGGTTGCCTTCAAAGTAGTCCCCTTAGGAAGCTATGCACTGATGCTACCATCTGATCCACCCTTCAAAACAATTTTGGAACTGGTTTTGTGGGATAGCCTTCAGAGCTGCCATTGTATTACTCCTGATGTCATTAATGTCATCAAAATGCCTCCCTTCCAGTATTTCCTTTATCTTCGGGAACAGAAAGAAGTCACTGGGGGGCTAGATCCAGTGAATAGGGAGGGTGTTCCAGCACAGTTATTTGTTTACTATCAAAAAGCTCCCTCACAGACACTGTTCTTTTGTGAGCTCTTTTGGAACAATTTTTGCACACACCTTCCTCATGTCAAGATCTTCAGTTAAGATTTTCCTAACTGTTGCTCTGTTGATGTTTGCTTGCTCTGCTATGCTCCTGACAGTCAGCCGATGATTTTAATGCACAATTTGATGAACTTTTGCAATGTTCTCTTCAGTTCTGCTTGTTGCTGGCCATCCTGATCTCCCTTCATCAGTGATACTTTCTCTTACCTCAGAAAAACATGTCACGCTTGTAAACTGCTGTTTTCTTATCTCTGTAAACTTGTACTAACATCTCTCTGATTTTGTTTCCACTCTTGCCAAGTTTAACAAGAAATGTAATGGTTGCTCATTGCTCTAATTCAAGCTCCACACCAATACACACTCAGACAACAATAGAGGCCACTCAGAAAGACTGCCATAGGTCAACAACAACACAGCTGTGAAATACTGATGTGTCTACATCATGAAACCATGATGAGGTTTCTGTCCACTGCTGCCATGGCAAGCACATGATGGCGAGATCATGAACTTTATTGTCAGATCTCATATATCCAGGATGTAGAAGCTTTCATGTCATTTATCCGGATCTTATTTTCATTCATCCAAAATGATTTATGTTACCTCTCATGACTACAATAACCATTGTTATATAGAGGCTTGGCACTTTCTGGCAGATTCCACTCAGAGACCTAAACTAATATGATCTTTCAAGACAAAGTTAAGCAAGGGAATAGGTTGTGATCTGAGATCACTTCCTTACATCTGTGCTTCAAAAGTTGACACAATTTATCTCCTGATTATTATGACATTGTTTCCTAGCATAAATGCAAGCCAGTGAATCCAACTAGTCACCCCATGCTGTTCACATATTCTTTCATGGAAAGATTCATTGTAAGTTTTTAATTATCTAGAACCAGTTTCCATTAGTCATATTCAGTGATTTTTGTTATGCTTCATGGGGAGCTGGGTTAGTGCATTCAGTGTAGTGATTGTACTACAGGTTGAATGAACAAAGAATATGGATTCATTTGTCATCAGAGATTTTTCTCTTTGCTACCTCACACAGCCTCCCATCCAATGGATGTCAGAGATGTTTTCTCCAGGCATGAAGCCGACCACTCACCTCCATTTAATGCTGAAGGTTAAGAAAGAATGGAGCTATACTTCCTCTCCTCGTATGCCTTTATGGCATGGTGCTTAATTATTTAAACTTTACTATTCTTCACTTGTTCATGCAATAAGTTTTGCCAATTATAAGGATTTTTGAGGATTTGTTGGCTTGCAGTGTCAGAACTGTTTGTTATGAAATCTTTCTTTTAATTACCTGTTAACATATTGTGTTAGGACATCCACCGAATAACTTTGTTATTTTTCTTATTTTATGCCATTACATAAGCAGTTCTAATTTGTGTAGCTGGTTTCTTATTATGTTTTATGAAAAGAATTTGTAATAGGGATATATTTATAGCTTCTATTTCAACATCTGAGGGGGCACTATACTTTCCATGTTGCACAGTTCATCATTGCTGTTATATGTGTAAAGCCACTCATTCTCTAAGTGCAGTGAAACCCCATTTAAGGTTTCTTTGGGGAGAAGTGAGGGAAAACCTTAAACTGAGGTACATGAAATGAGAGTTCACTGCATTTTGTTTCTGTGTATCTACAAAGCATTTTAAGCTATAACCTTCCTTTTGATTAAAATTTTTTGGATGCCCTTAAGTCGATAAGAGAGGTATAGCAAGGCTGTTTATCAGTAGTTCACTTATGTGTTTTCAAATTAATGTTCCAGCACTGAGTACATGTGCCTAATACACACCTGACATTATGTTCTTTGTATCACTTTATTGTATAGGAACTGTGCAAGTTGCTTCAAGCAGTAATGCTTCTGACTTCTATTCAGGTCCAGATCTTGGTCAGGTCATTAGCTAAACATTACAATGGTTTTCTTCAGTCTGTTCAAGCAAGTGCTGGGATATTACCTCAAATTAGGTTGTGATGACTTCCTTCTATGTCTTTTCCAATTCATCATTTCTTAATCCTACCATCTGATGCTATACAGTCTTAGCTACTGAGAGTAACATTACATAAATCATAAAAGATATGAGTAGAAGGAATCTGGATTATAGTTCAACCTAGTAAATCATTTTTACATTTTGTTCATGTGAAACTTTACAGTTTAATCTGTTTTCCATGCAGTAAGCTATGCCCAGGGGTCCTGGTGATATAGAAGGATCCAGTTCCTTCATGCATTTTTCTGTAAATTGTCTTCATCCTTATTTTTTGGAGGTAAAACTTGTGATATGTAAGGGGCCCTGTCATAGTTTGGATCCCTTTGTATGTTCTCATCCTGTTGTTAGGGACTCCATAACCTTTGCAAGGCAGGTAGGTAGAGGCCAGGATGTTCAAAGACCATATCTGCCATAAGCCCCAAAATTTAGAATTTATCCATTGTTTGTTCTTCGTAACATTCAGGTCACGTTCCATTTTTTTTAACTGGGATTTTAAACAAGCCAGGAGAGTTCAGTCATTGTAAGGAACAGGCTATGGACTGGCCTGAGAAATCGGGGTTTGATTCCAGGAAGGGGAAGAGATTTTTCCCATCACTTTGTTCACAGTGGATCTGAGGCTCACCCAGCCTCCTTCCTCATGGGTGTACTGGAGGCTTTGGCATGTCACTGTCACCTCTGTCTAGTGCAAAGTTTAATAATGTACAGAGCTTCTATTTCCCCAGACATTTACATGGTGTGGTGCTTAAGTAAGCACAGAGAACTTTTCCTTTTTGTTCTTAAATTTCATCTGTCTTTCTGCATCTTCTGTCCAGTCATTCCTACATCCCATTCTTACTTCACATCTCTGTTGCTCACTAGTGTTGCTCCTGATTCTTGACCACATGTGCCTGAGCTCTGTCGCTGGTGGTTAGGTGGCTGCTTCTCACTACAGATGCCCAAGGCAGATCACGTGAGATTTGTGGTGGAAAATGTGGAATTGGATCTACGTTTTTTGAGTGTCGTGTGATTTTCTTCTCTTGTTCATCACTTTACTATCCTTGGCTATCAGTGACTGTAAGTTATGCAGTAGATCAGATTGGTCAGTATGCTATCATATCATTCATCTTCAGTTTGGAGCTTTGTGTATTTACATGGCACTTTGCTGGACTCAAGAGTAAGAATTTATTATCGTCACCTTTAAGGCAGTTTTTTCTTTCTTTAAGCCCATTCCATCTCAGAGACTATCCTCCCATCATCATCTTGGTCTTTCCACCATTTCTTTGTCCTTCTGGTTGGCTTATCTTAACTTTCTGGGGCAGTCTTGATGAGTCCATTCTTCAGATGTCATTATGCCTTCTATTTTTGTAATGTTGGATTCGTTCTTCTGAACCAAATATTTGTAACGTATTGGATACTGGTCTGTAAGTGTATATCCTGAGAGACCTTAAAAAGTACAGTTCCTTTGTTTCAGTTTTTCTTTTTTCACTTTTATTCAGAGCCCAGTTTTCACTTCCATACATAAAGATAGGAGCTTCTGTTACCTTATAAAAATTGAATCTGTGGTGTTAACCAATTATTACTTACAAGAACTGTTCTAGGAATCTCATTCCCTGCAATGT